GATCCCTAAGTACAACTGATTAGCTGTGCACTTGCAGCTTTCATTAGTTTTTATTAAGGGTAAAACTTGTTCACTCACCTCGTAGCACATCACAGCCCAAAGTTTGTTTTCCATTGTTTACAACTTTCGATTTTTACTTGCTTTCACTTGCTTTCATTTAGTGACAACCCAAAATCAAAACCCAAATTGTTTACTTCATATAAGTACTAGTGTGAATTCGTACTGAAACAGGTAAGTCTCTGTGGATTGATACCCTAAGTACTACAGCTCACATCTGTGCACTTGCAGACATTTAGGGGTTATAAATTTAAAATATGAAGCTTAGTAAAACAAACACCCCGCTTTTGCAGCATCAAGTTTTTGGCGCCATTGCCGGGGACTTTGATTTGTTTCGTTGCGAATGTCAGCTTACATCCATTAGAACACTTGTTCATTTTTACTTTTTCTTTTGAATTTTCCAGGTTACTCGACAATGGGAGACCAGGAACATGTTCCGGGTACTCTCGGTGATCCGCCATATCATGTGGATGGTGACCTGAGTGACGATGACCTGAATGATGAAGAGTTTGACAATCCGATTAATGATTATGAGGAGCTAATCGGGTCAGCAAAACGTGAAGATGATGATGAACTAATAGAAAGTTTCGATTCACTCGAAAAGTTTTGGGAGATTGAAGAGCTATTCAACAAGCTTTTCCTGAGGATGGTAAAACCGAAATAAAGGTACCATATATCGACTTAGTTCAATAAAATCAATTATATGGTTATTCATCCGAACACCCGATGGACCATATCGAGTCGTTCGAAGAATTATGTGCAACCATTACATCAAATGGGGATTACCATAAGTGTAGTCTTTTCCCATTCTCTTTGAGAGACAACGCCAGCAAGTGGCTAAAATCTTTGCAACCTGCGTCAATAATAACGTGGGCAGCTTGTAGAGCGGCTTTCCTAAATCGCTTTTACACTAGAACTCGTTCCCTCTTAAGGAACAAGATAAGAACTTTTGAACAAAAAGAAGACGAAGATCTTTTTGATGCTTGGGAAAGATTTATAGAATACCAGAGAGATTGTCCACACAATGGATATTCCGACAAATACCTGATGGGTATTTCCAATCGAGGTGTAACTCAAGAATTGCAACATTCTTTTGACACAACAAGAAATGGAGACTTTTCCACCAGATCTGTAGAAGATGCTCGTGTTTTCATCAACAACCTGGCAGGAAGTATCCGTAACCAAGAAATCTTTGGCAAATTTGCAATTCCTGAGAAGAAAGAAGACATTTCCAAAGTTATGAAGTGTCTCCATCAAATAATGAGTCAACTTGGATTGCAACAACCAATCAAGGCACACAATATGTGTAACTTTGTTGGTTGGAACAACCCAATGGATTCTTATAATCAGAGATAATGAACACTGAAGAAGTCTATGGAATTCAAGATTTTCCTTTCGTGCCTGATCAGCGCGGGTCCATCCTTTCGGACCGCGGCCAAACATGCTTTCACCACGGTTGTGACATTGCTGACCGCGGTCAAGACCCATTCTACCACGGTCACGAGTCATACGACCACGGGAAATTCTCTTCCGAACAGATCTGGGCTGTTCAGTCTGATCCAATCCCATATCCTTGTTTTCCCTCTCCTGAAGCTGAAAATCTAAACAAAAGAATTCTAGAGCTTGCAAAATCTAAGCCTAGGGATATCAATGATCTTACCTCCGAAATAAAAAGGATGCAAGAAGATTTCAATGATAAATTTTCCATAATCCTTAGCCTGATGATTAAAAGTAAGTCTAAGAACACACTTAATTCTGAGGAGGAGCCAAGTTAAAGTTCTTTCGAAAGCTCAAGCGAAGACGACCCCTCCGATCATGTGAAAGCTATCACACTTAAGAGCGGTTTAGCTTACAAAGAGCCTGAATTTCCTAAAGATCCCGAAGATGAGAAAAAGAGAAAAGAAAAGAAAAAGAAATAGTCACGATTGAAGACGTTGAAAAAGAAGTGGTAGGAGAGAAGGATGGAGAAGAAGTAAGAGAAGATATATCCCGGGAAATCCTCGGAGAAGACCAATCCCCCCTCCACCAGTTACTGTCTATAAATCTAAACCGCTATATCCTAGAGCCTTAAGAGCCCCGAAGAAGGAGAAAGAAAAAGCTAAGCTGAAAGAGCTAATCGACCAATTAAATGTGAGATTACCTTTCGTGGAAGCTTGTGCTATGATTCCCGCTTTAAAAAAATACATGAAGGGTATTTTAACAAATTCCTTAACTCTTGAAGAATGTGTTATGATGATAACCCATGAATGAAGTTTTATCCTGCAAAGCCGGATTCCTCAAAAGAAAGACGATCCTTGGAGCTTCGTACTTTCCCACACTATCAATAATATGGCTTTTAAGCGTGCTCTTTATGATTTGGGATCGAGCATAAACATGATGCCTCTTTCAGTTGCAAAACGTTTAAGATACCACACTTTCCAGCCCACTAAAAATTCTTTAGTACTAGCTGATCGTTCTTTTAGACAACTCATAGGTATCTAAATAGATGTTCCCGTCGAAATTGAAAAGTGTTCCATACAAACTGATTTCGTAGTTCTAGAACTAGAAAGAGAACCTAAGGATCCCCTTATTTTTGGACAACCATTCCTATCTACGGCCGGAGCTATAATCAATGTCCCGGAAGGCAAAATTGACCTTCATTTAGCCGGTCTAGTTATGCAATTTGACATGAACAAAAATTTCGATAAACCGACACTTAATGGCAAGATATATTGGATTAATGAGCTAGACAGAATTATTGAGGAAGTCTATGAAGATTTACTTCTCGACGACGCTTTAAGTGTCACAATTTAAACCACAAAAGATGAACGCAATTTCCTTGAAGAAATTTCAAGTTAATGCGCGCGAATGTTTGATAAGTCCGAAACTTACAAAAAGCCCTTAAACTATATAAATCTTGAGGACCAAACAAACATTCCTGCACCTCCCAAAGATACAGCCGCAGCAATAAATGATTCGTGGAGCGAGCTAAAAGAACCGAAGGTTGAGCTTAAACATCTTCCAGTCGGACTTAAGTACGCTTTTCTTGGATCAAATTTGACTTATCCTGTCATTATAAACTCCGGCTTGACAGAAGAAGAAACTAAAATGCTGTTGTCTGAACTGAAAAAATATAGATAAGCCTTAGAATATTCACTTGATGACATACCTGGAATCTCGAGAATAATGCTAAGAACTCAATCGAAAGTCAAAGGAAACTAAACCCTAATCTCATGAATGTTGTCAAGAAGGAGATTATGAAGCTTTTAGGAGCCGGAATAATATTTCCTATCTCAGATAGCACTTGGGTTAGCCCAGTTTATGTTGTCCCGAAGAAAGGAGGAGTCACTGTCATTTAAAAGGATAAAGATGAAATGATTGCTACACAAACAGTCACTGGACATTATATGTGCATCAATTACAGGAAACTGAATGCAGCAACTAGGAATGATCATTTTCCACTTCCCTTCATAGCTCAAATGCTAGAAAGGTTAGCTAATCACCCCTATTATTGCTTCCTTGATGGATACTCCGGATTTTTCCAAATTCCTATTCGACTGGAGGATCAAGAAAAAACAACATTTACTTGTCCATATGGCACATTCGCTTATCGACGAATGCCTTTTGGATTGTGTAATGCACCTGCTACCTTCCAGCGATGCATGATGTCGATCTTCACAGACTTTATCGAAGACTTTATAGAAGTTTTCATGGACAATTTCTCGGTCTATGGATCTTCTTTCAAAAAATGTCTGGCCAACCTTGGTGAAGTTCTGCAAAGATGTGAAGATAAGCACTTAGTATTAAATTGGGAAAAATGTCACTTCATGGTACGAGTTGGAATCATTCTTGGGCACAAGATTTCGAGAAAAGGAATTGAAGTTTACAAAGCGAAAATTGAAGTCATGACAAGCCTAACACCTCCCCCCCCGACAAATGTGAAAAGAATTCGTAGTTTCTTAGGACACGCTGGATTCTATATAGCGATTCATAAAAGATTTTTCTCAAATAGCTAAACCTCTTACATGTTTGCTTTGCAAAGAAACGAACTTTGAGTTTGATAATGAGTGCTTAGCCGCGTTTCATAAACTCAAAGAAGTTCTTGTCTCCGCTCCTGTTGTGCAAGCACTTGATTGGGAACTCCCATTTGAAATCATGATCCATGCAAGTGAGTATGCAGTCGGAGCAGTGCTTGGCCAACGAAAAGATAAGAAACTGCATGTAATCTACTACACAAGCAGAACTCTAGACGAAGCTCAATGCAATTATGCAACAACAGAGAAGGAACTTCTAGCTGTCGTATTTGCATTTGATAAATTCCGTTCTTATCTCGTAGGAGCTAAGGTTATAGTTCATACTAATCATGCAGCAATCAAGTATTTAATATCTAAGAAAGATGCTAAACCGAGATTGATAAGATGGATCCTTCTACTGCAAGAATTCAACATCGAAATTCGAGATCAGAAAGGAGCAGATAAGAGAGTCACAGACCATCTTTCACAAATTCGAGTTGAAGAAAGATTTTCTTTAAATGATAGTTTTCCAGAAGAAAACATATATGCAATAGATGTAGTTCCCACCAATGCAGCACCACCACGTTAACTCATGCGACAATCAGATGCTTTTATCACCCCATGGTTTAGACCCATAGCGAATTACCTAGCAGCTGATGTAGAACCACCACAATTCTTAGGATATAGGAAGAAGAAGTTTCTGCGAGACGTAAGACATTATTTTTGGGATGAACCTTATCTCTATAAGAGATGCGTTGATGGTTTATTCCGAAGATGTGTGGCTGAAGAAGAGATGGAAGGAATTTTATTCGGACGCACGACATTTCGCAACTTTCAAAACCGTTTCAAAGATCTAACAAGCAGGTTTTCGGTGGCCTACTTTTGTTAAAGATTCTCCTTCCAATATTTATTGCCCTAAATCAGTCTGCATTTGTAAAAAACCGATTGTTGATGGAAAATGTGTTGCTGGCTACTGAGATAGTTAAGGATTACCATAAGGAAGACATCACTCCAAGATGTGCAATGCAGATTGACATTTCAAAAGCTTTTGATTCAGTTCAGTAGGAATTCTTGATCAATATCCTAAAGGCTATGGATTTTCCTGATGAGCATATACATTGGATTTCGCTTTGGATATCCTCAACATCTTTCTCAGTCCAAATAAATGGAGAGCTTGCAGGCTACTTTGGGAGCACAAGGGGATTAAGACAGGGCTGTTCTCTATCCCCATACCTGTTTATGATCTGTATGAACATTCTTTCAAAGCAGCTATGGAGGGGAAGATTGGATACCATCTTGCTTGCGAAAACTTGGCTTTGGGTCACTTCTGCTTTGCAGATGATCCCATGGTTTTTGTGAAAGGTTATAAACTGTCCATCGTTGGAATCCTTCAGGTTTTCGAGGAGTTTGCTAAGCACACAGGTCTCCACATCAGCATTGAGAAGTCAACGGTATACATGTCGGGAATCCCAGATGTAGTGAGAGCGGAGATCCTTCAGGAATTCCCTATTGAACAAGGAACCCTGCCTGTTTGATATCTTGATTTCTCTCCACTCATCGAGAAAATTCACCAAAAGATAGGTTCTTGGACCGTTAAACATCTCTCTTTTGGTGGACGGTTTCAACTCATAAGCTCTGTAATTTTCAGTCTAATCAACTTCTGGATGGCAGCCTTCCAGTTACCAAAGGCGTGCATCACATAAATTGATAAGCTTTGTGCTTCTTTCCTCTAGTCTGGTCAGGAACGAAATGGTAAGAGGGCAAAGGTGGATTGGAGTGTGGTATGTACTCCAAAACAAGAAGGAGGGCTCGGCCTGAAAGCTTTAAACCAAGTCAACAAGGTCTGTATGCTGAAATTGATATGGAGGATTATGTCTGCAAGGGACTCGTTATTGGTTAATTGGGTTCAAAGGCACCTCATAGGAAACGGTTCGATATGGAGAATCAGGGACTCAACAACGCTGGGATCATGGATCTGGAAAAAGATCCTTAAATATCGAACTACGACAATAAATCTCTACCAGTTGGATATTGGGGATGGGGCTCGGACATCCTTTTGGTTTGATAAATGGAGTAAGTTAAGCTATTTGTTTGATATCTTCGGAGATAGAGGAGTCATTGATCTGGGGATCCCTTTACATGCTTCTCTGGAATCGGTCTGGAACAGATACAGAAGGGGAAGTAATAGAAACGCTTTACTCAGGCAAGTGGAAGAGGAAATTAAGGAGAAGCAGAGGCAGCAGATACTTCATGACGAAGATGTTGCATTATGGCGTGGAAAAGGAGATACTTTTAGATCGACTTTCAGTTTAAAAGACATATGGGAGAAATTTTGAAGCCGAAATGCTATATGGGAGTCCTGTAAAGGCGTTTGGTTTCCGTCAGCCAGGCCAAAATTTTCCTTTGTGGCCTGGTTAGTGGTGAAAAACAGAGTAACTACGGGTGATTGAATGCAGAAGTGGAATCAGAACATCTCCACTGAAAGGGACCGAGAACTCTTAAGAAGGGATGACTCTACTCAGGCCTAAGTTTAGTGGACTTTTTTAGGTGGAAAAGATAAGAAGTGTAAGAGTTTAGGAGAGAAATTGCTCCACTGTTTAGGAACCGCTGTGGAGTGGAGTGGAAGTGAAAAATTGGTCAGAGTGATTACAGGAAAATTAGAGTGGTACACCTTTGAGTTGCGAGTATCTAGAAAGATAGCATAAGCTCAAAGGTAGCGAAAATATTGATCCACTTTCTCATTGAAAAGGGTTAAATATTTCAAATTTTTACCTAACCCAGATTAGTATATCGGATTGGACCTCAGATTGTCAAGTTGACGGGTTGGTATGAGATCCAGCGTGGTTGGATCCAAATCTTGTTGCTTCCCTCATGCTTCTGATAGTCTCACAAACTTTCCTGGGCGCCTTCCGCCAGCTGCGAGACCAGTTCTTGGTGTGTCCCTTTAATTCCTAGTGTACGTTCTAAGTTCGGCGGTTCAGACGTGATATGGCCTTTGCAAAGCCTCTGTCTTCTTTTCTATTCTGCGTGTGGTCACTATCACTTGACACGTATAAGCATTGAGCATTAAATGCTGATCTTGTGGGCTTATAAAGGTATTTAGTCAAGCGCATATTCCAATTGTTGAGTGGAAGGAAATTTGTTCAATAGAGTTTTCCGCTTAAGAAGATATTCATACATCACCCAGATACTTTGATACTAGGACAGGGCTGTCGAGGTCGTCTCACTGGTTGTCGCCTTTATTTCAGTACTTGTGTGAGTTACATTTCCTTAAATCCAGATCCTCTCGGATCACTGAGCTTAAGTCTAGGACAGAAGGAAGGCAACCTTTTTTTCTCTTGACCATTTAGTTCTTAACCTCCTTGTTTCTGACAGCGTGGCCTTCGATATCAGGTAAGAGAAACCCGGAAATAAGTGGTCCTCATGTCTGGTCTCCCAAATCTGACGGATTTGAGGTCCGGGCTATGTGCTTAGGTCGTATCAGAGCGTAAGCTCAATACAGAACCTAATTTGGCCGGAAGGGGGGGAGGGCATACCTACAAAAAGGTCATAGATGCCACGTGCAAACATATGATTCTTCTACATAAGAAAGATCAAATTTATCTTTAACAGAATATTTTAACTCAAACAATGACTTAAGAGTTAATTTTGTTCATGGTCAAAATTGCATTGATGTTCAATCTTCTTTTCTATATTTTTTTTTTAATGTAAATTAGGGTAGAATTTCTCTTTTTTTAAGTCTTTTACTTTTATCAAAGAATTTGATTTATCTTTTTCTTTTATCTTCTGGTTTTAGAAATGCCATTGGTGATAGATTCTACCATTATTATCTTCGAGTGGTTGCAACTTTTTTCAGTAGTGGTGTTCAGTTTCTTTCTTGGTTCTGGCTCTTAGATTTTACTAATCTTTATGATCCTAAATGTTTTTATCGATCCGTTTAGTAACATTCAGATTTTTATTAGGAGTAGACAACCTACAACACACATTAATTTGGTGTCAAAACTGTCATCTTATAGTTTACAGGCTGTTTTGCTTCCTGCTACACACATTACTCCTAAAAAATATGGACTGGATAATGAATGTAGTGGATTCAGTACAGGTTGTTAAAATTTATTTTCCAATTACATTAAGATTAGATTCATATATTTTGGGTAGTTTTTTGCAAAATATAAACTAGTTTATCTTACTATAAAGTGTAAAAATATGTAAATCAGAAAACTATGTTATCAATAATATTAAATATTATTAAAAACTGTGGATAACTTTTTGAGAAATTAGAATAGTTTTGAGGATTTTAGATTATTGTTTAAAAATTTAATTTAATATTTTTTCAGCATCAAAACCGATAATTCCGGCATTCCAAATTATCATCTCTTTGCTAGTTAAAATAGTTTTTGTTGTTTCTTCCTTGATGTCTTTTAACCTTAATTTCTATATTTTTATCGGTTAAATAATTTATCTTGATCTTAGCAGATAATTTTTTGCATGGCGGTGTTTAGTTATGTCTATATAGAGGGCTTTGTCTTGTCTAACGAATGTTTACATATAACGTGTAATAACCCGACCTTCGGTTCTCCAAATATCAGTTTGTTTCTGATTCTTAATCCCAATCTATTGTAATTTATTGTTATTTCTTATTAGGCTTCAATATTTGTTTTCATTTCAAAATTCCATTATCCAAGTTAAATAATTAAAATCCAAGCTATAAAGACATTTCCTAATCTCTTGCTAATCTTTTTAGCAATAACAAAACTCTAGCCTCTCTCTCGCTCGTAACTTTCTTCTTTCTATCTGCCGCCGAGTCCATGACGTTTTCCCGGCGAACCGTGAGGAGCTACGCGATGATCGAAATATCAAATTGAATCCCCGAGTGTCAGCTTTCTAAGAAAACCAAGTTCATCCGGATCAGAGATCTGTGCCAGGGGTTATCACTGTTTTTGTCTCGGGTGTCCAGATCTGTCCAAAGAGGAGAAAAAGTGTATCTTCTTCCAAAAAGGAATCTGTGAGGAGCTGATTCATCCTCCTTTTCATATGAATGTTTATTTATAGTTAGTCTTATCTTAAACCAAAGCTTAAATCTGATTGCTAGGATGTGACTGATTAATGTTAGGACCTGGATCTATGTTGTTGACTTGTTGATGATTGATGGTTGCTGGTGGAATGTTATATAAATAATCAAAATGGGATTTAAAACTATGGAACCCTAAAAAGGAACCTTGGTAAGATGATTCTTTGTAATAATGAATAGCGAATAAGTTTATAGGTTGAAATAAGTTTATGTCTCGTTTTCAGAGCGATTCCTGTGTATTTTTATCCTGACATATCGTGTGTTTATTTCTTGTTCTATGTGGCATTTTTGTCGATTTTAATTGGTCATTCATTAATCCTACGTGTACTTTAAAGTTATGTGGCAAATTTTGTTGTATTTAGGTTCATTAAAGTCCATTTTATTCTAATTTCTATCAGCCCGTTTTATTGTAAAGCCTACGATTTTCTTATTATTGGGTTATTCGTCTATCCATTAGAATAAAGTTTGGGTTACGAAGAACAAAACTAAACTGTCTATAAAAATAAATTTATGGAGAACGATACCATGTTAAGCTTTATCTCTAAATTAAGTTTATCTATTATTTTTATGGATGAGTTTATCTTCGTTCTCCGTAACCCGAACTCTCTTCTCACGGAAAGACGACTAAACCAATAAAAAAAACCTGCCGGCATTACAATGAAATGGACCGATAGACTTAAGAATAAAACGACCTTTAATGACCTAATTATAACAAAATTTACCATATCACTTTAAAGTACACATACACGATTAATGAGCGACCAATTAAAATTAATAAAAAAATATCACATAAGACAAAAAGTAAACACATGACATGATAGCACAAAAACACACATAGAATAACAACACATAAGCTTTTTTACTTTACAAATAATATTATAAATAAATTTAATAATCTATTAGTTATTTAATTAACCCTTTCTGTATGCGCAAGGTGTGAGACAAATGACTAGTATATAATTGTGTCTCAAGAATTAGGTTTAGGGCCTATTTTTTTCGATCAAAACCCTAAAGTGTTAACCATAAAACTTGTGGCCGAAGAAACCCTAATCCTAACTTACCGAAGAAGTAAAAACCATATGAGGAGAAATTATTGAGGCTCATTATAAAATGGATCTTGGAGATTTAAGACTCAATTTTCGTGGCCAGGAGAAGAAGAACCCAATGAGAGGAGCCAAAAATTATCATTAAAGGCAAAAGAGACATTTTTTGGATAAACCCTAAACTCTGTAAACCTCATCACTTGCTCTATAAAAAGTGTGAGCTCGTGACAGAGGATAAGAGAGAGAGAGTTTCTGCAGCGAAGCCCTGTCAAAATCATTTTTGATCAGCCACCATCAAAGCAGCTCGAAGGAGAAGCCACAACAGCAATCTAGAAGGCTAATCCAACATGTTTTGGCATGAGAGATAATTGGTTGGTCAAATCAGATCATATCGGCATGAAACTTGGTAAGATGATTCTTGACCCTCATATCTAGCTATAGCCGCAAGCGGATCATTATTTGGAGATGTTATTTAACAGTTATGAGTGTTTTCCCGAGCCATATTTACAAAGGTCCGATCCGCGAGCAGCCGACTTGTGAAGCGTTATTCTGGCGATCTAGGAAGCTTCAGAAGGCGATCTACATACCAGCGTGAAGATCTTTGATCCAGCTTTCCAGATCAATCTTCCGATATCCATTCCGAGCTGTGAACAGGAATTTATGTTCGTTTTCCTGTCGAGTATCAAACCTGTCCAAAGGCAAACTGGATTCGCTATTCATTATCAAGTGGCAAAGGTGAGGAAACATTTGTAAATTTCTAAGATATATTAGTTGATTTAGTAATGTGTGTATGCTTAGTGTAGGTATTAAACATGATTGATGATTGGTATTTGATAATGGGGATTGATATTGGTTGTTGATTGGTTATTGATGATAATTAATAATGAGAAATACTATAATATAATAATAGGATTGCAAGTTATTTAGTCGTTAGTTGAAATAGTATTTATTTTGTTACAATATTGTTTGACGACCTACAACAAAAAACTGAGATTTGTGAAGTTGTACTGATCGATAAATTGTTTGACGGCCTTCAATGAGGGACTGAATATAGTGAAGCTGTAGTGATCGAGAAAGGGCTGACGAGCCATAGTCAAGCCCTGTTAAGAGTGGCACCGGTAACTTGTCAAGTCCAGGATGGGTGGTAGCAAAGAATGAGTACCATTGACAAAAGTTCTTTGAGAATGTGTTACAGAATCTCTAGGTTGAATTTTTTGAATGATTG